AGTTGTACAAGTGGGTCTTCCTAAAAAGCAGAAAAAGAAATCAATATCTATACTCAAAATTAATTTGACACCTAGCACAACCATAAGCCACTGTATGCACTATAAAAAAACACTACTTTTTAATTTTATTTACATGTAAACATGGACTTCAAACTCAAAGGGAGTCAGTTAGATAGAAACATGATCCAGTCCCATGAATGGAGGTCAACAGGGACATTTCAAAAAAATATCATACTGCAGTATACAATATACCTCCATAACACCAGTGAACAATGCATCTGAGTGAAGCACTCAATAACTCAATATCAGTAGGTTGAGGCAACAGACAGCACATTTAAATTAAAGTGATAATGGCAATTGCACTACAGTACATGTCTGCTGTGTTGTTGATTCAACCAACCACAGTGTGTTTGACAAAGTATTTCACACCTAGAATAATTTATGATGAGTCCTTTTTTTTCTTTTGCAAATACATGTAGAAATGTATATGGGGGAGGGTATTAATGGTAGGAATGACTCCACAAAAAATGTGTTAACTGACTCAGGTTGATGACACAAAATTAAAGTATTATTGCATGCTTTTTTTCTTTTTTCTTTTGATGAGGATTAGTATATAATCAGGAGCCTGGTTCAAATTCTTTTTTGTGACTATAGTAAATTAATTTAATTAAAAGTGAAACTGCTACTACCATAGCAGTACTAGACATCCATTTCAATAATTATAATACAAATAGACAAACAAAAGAAAAAAAAATTAAAAGACTATGGTGCAAAGAGGTTTAAAGGTACAAAGACAATATCTACCACTCAAAAAATAACTTACCTCTTCAAATATCACATTCTATGCCTCACTGCTGTCCAAGGTGAAAGTCACCTAGGTAAGGTGACTCTGGATAACTGGCAGTCTCCATAAAAATAAGTTCTGCACAGAAAAACAGGAAAAATAGTTCCAGTGTACAGCCCACGTACACCTGTACATGTATTTTATCACATACTGTGTAATATAATTGAATGTGTGCCAAAATATAAACTGATCGATCTCATGGAAGAGTGATAGTATGAGTGTGAAATGAAAAAGATTGTTAAAAGTGAGAGTGGGAAGTCATTAACTTTGAAAGTTAAAGGTAAATAAGAAACAATAAGGGGGGGAAGGTTATTTTGAATGTCACCTTGTATTGTTAAACAAAGATTACTAACACTTAAGACTGGGAACTAGTCAAAAAAGACAAGTCCAAGGTAAACCATGCATGTCACACAACACCTGACCAACTTTACCTTTAAGTTTTTCTTTAGGAAGATCATCCAACTCAGTTTCAAATCTAAATGGCTCCTCAGCCACAGGCTGCAAAGGAAAAAAAATACTAATAATTACTGTACTTCAAGTTTTATCAACAGGACAATGATATTTAAAATTTAAATTATCAGATCATGTATTGCGCAGGTAAGGGCAGTCTTGGAAGGAACGTTGCGGGTGGTGGTGACTGATGTTTAAACGACCTTAGTGATGACTTCTTCAAATGACATTGATTTATGTTTTGTTTTGAAAAAATTCATTTTTCCAAAACAAACGAAATGCGCTACTCCCAGAAAATTAAATAACAATTTAAAATGTAAACAACAACAACAACAACAACAACAAAAAACAAATCTGTGTTTACTATTACAAGTACAGTTCATGAAGGTTTTTTCAAGTCAAGCAGGGAAGTAAAAGCTCAATCCCATTATCATACAGAGTAGTACACTGACAGCTCATCTCTGACCTCATCTTGTGGGTCATAGTACTGCTCTAGGTAAGGGTGTGCCAGAGCTTCCTCTATTGTGATCCGTTTGTCAGGATTGAAAGTTAGCATCTTATCTAACAGTTCTATAGCTGTAAACAAGGAAAGATTGAAATTCA